AATTGTTATAACTTCAGATCTGGGCTTTGGGTGTGTGTGTGTGATTTTTAATGTTTATTTCGGGACAAGACCTTACCGTTTCAGATTCAAACTTGTGTGGTTTTATAGTCTGGGACTGTTATTTTCAATGGGGAATGTATACGAGGTCTGGATAGCCGGACCTCAGCAGATTTCAGAAGCTAAGCAGGGTCGGCCCTGGTTGGTCCTTGGATGAGAGACCACCAAAGAAAGTCCAGGGTCACTACACAGCGGCCGGCAATGGCACACCACCTCTGAACATCTTTTTCCTTGAAAACCCTACGGGGTAGGCATAAGTTATCTGCGACTGGATGGTGCTTTCCACCACCACCAAAGACCAAATCCTTTTTATAGTTCCAGGGCCTTTAAAAAAAAAAACGGTTTTCTGTTTATTATTTCTATTGGTTGTGTTTTTGGGGTGTTTTTTTGGGCAATGTAATACTTCTAAAATTCAAGATCTTCCCTGTGCCTGAATGGTTCTCTTTTTCATGAGTGCAGTCTCACATTTTCAGCCAGGCAACCGTTGCCGTGTTTGTTTCAGATCTTAACGCTATGCCAACGGTGGCCTAAGAAGACGGTCTGGCTCAGAGATGCCCCTTTGCCTGAGGAGGAAGATTCGTAGCTTCCGAAGAGCTTCGCGGTGCTCTGTTAGAACCGAAGATGACGATATATACGGTTCGGTGACTGGAATGGATAGGAGAAGCCAGTCTGGGCCCAGATTTGGGTGAAAACTGCGGTCAATGAATCCGTCGCCTCTCTTCCCGAATTAAGAGGCACAGAGTTTCCGGTTTTTAGTGGGAACTGTGCAGGTGGAGCTATCCGAAAAGATGGATTTTATTTGGGTGTTGCCCTGTACTCCCCCATGATCCAGGGACATTGGCCTAATTGTTGGAACACAGCGCTCCAGAAAGAGACTCTTCCTCATAAAAATCCAGGTGAAGAGTGCTTTGTTCAACCAGCAGCCTCGAGTGACGTCAGGGCTCTCTTCGCCTGTGCTCTGGCTCCCTAAGAAAGAAGCAACAGTAGTGGCTTGACGGAAAGAGAGCCGCAGAAGATCCTTTTCCATGTCTCCTGTGAACTTAGCCATTTTACATTTTTTTAAAAAAAGGATGTATTTAAAGAAATTAAAAGTTTTATTTTTAAAATGTACAGAAGAATAAAATCTATCTGTGAAAAAGAGTCTGCTTGTTTTTGCGTGAGGTTATATTAGGGGTGCCGGGGGTGGGTTGGGACATCACGTTATATGCCTATGTGACGTCAGTGTGTCAACGAGCACTCTAGAAACTCTACGGTAATTCTACAGTTACTGTAAGCATTAACTCTGTGGTTACCATAGAGTTTCTAAAGTGTCATCTGATGCCACAAGCACCTTAAAGACTAACAAAATCCCACAGAACCTCTGAATCCCGGAGCCAGGAGGCAACACCAGGGGAAGGCCTCGGCCTCTATGCCCTGTTGTTGGCCATCCAGGGGAACTGGTTGGCCATTGTGTGAGACAGGAGGCTGGACTAGATGGACCACTGGTCTGATCCAGCTGGGCTCTTCTGATGTCCTTATCAGGGGAAGGCCTCGGCCTCTCTGCCCTGTTGTTGGCCATCCAGAGGAACTGGTTGGCCATTGTGTAAGACAGGATGCTGGACTAGATGGGCCATTGGTCGGTTGTAGCAGGGCTCTTCTTAGGTTCTTATCAGGGGAAGGCCTCGGCCTCTATGCTTCTGTTGTTGGCCCTCCAGAGGAACTGGTTGGCCCCTGTGTGGGACAGGATGCTGGACTAGATAGATAAGACTATGGGTCTGATCCAGCAGGGCTCTTCTTATGTTCTTCTGAAGGCCTTTGCCTCTATGCCCTGTTGTTGGGCTTACCAGAGGAACTGGTTGGTCACTGCATGAAATAAGATGCTGGACTAGATGGACCACTGGTCTGATCCAGCAGGGTTCTTCTGAGGTTCTTATGCTCTACCCAATGGGCCCCCAAAATGGCTTTCATCATTCTCCTGTCTTCCATTGTATCCTCACAACAACCCTGAGGCCAAAGATCACCCAGCAAACTTCCACTGCAGAACGAGGATTTGAACCTGGGTCTTCCAGATCCTAATCTGATACTCCATCCACTGCACCACCCTGGCGCCAAAGCAGTCCAGGATATCTGCAAAACTCTCCCCCAACATCACGTTTCAAATGAATCAATTTTCTTCTTGTGCTATAATGAAGCATAAAATAATGTTAGGCTCCTCTCATTCTTGCTCTCTTTCCCCCCCAAAAAAATCTTTTGCTTTAATTGGAATGTTTCACAATACTGAACTTTCTGTATCACATGTGCGGACACGACAGATTACAAACGGATCAAGACACACACAAAATGTAAGACATACACTCATGCCATTATTTTAAAAAAAAGATGTTTAAAACAGGAAACTCACCCACAAAGGCCAACCCCGTGTGCTATACGGCATGAGCCAGGGTGTACAGGTGGCACAGACTTGGGGGACATGAAAAACCACAATGGATGAGCGCTCTAATGGCCAATAATGGAACCTGCAAGTAGCTAGAGGGGTACTGCGGAGGCACTTGGGGTATGAGATATTCGGGAGAGGCAAGAAGGTGGTCACAGTCGGTACCCATGGTTACCAACAGCTTGGGATACCCTATTTAGTTTTTTCGAAAGTGCCGCCTCACCTGATCTGCTCTTGTGTAACTTCCAGTCATTTCGATGGCGGAAACACATCCTTCAGCTTTAGAGGGGCTACTTTGGACCATATTGCACTGCCTCCAGACTCAGAAATGTGAGGAAGACAGCGAAAAGTTGTTTTCGGCAGAATGGAAGCAACGCAGATGAAAATTCGGCTAACCTTCCAAAACTTTGAATGGCAAAAAAAATAAAAGCGTTTTCAAATTATCCCTTTTAAACTGGCCTGTAAGGGGTATCTGTAAAGTCAAATAAATCCTCAGTTTTTGTGAATTTAAGGTGAAAATGTAAAGAAGAGGAGATTGGATTTATACCCCAGTGGCTTACAAACTCCTTTCCCTTCCCCTCCCCACCACAGACACCCTATGAGGTAAAAGAAGAAGAGATTGGATTTATACCCTGCCCTTCACTACCCGAAGGAGTCTCAGAGCGGCTCACAAACTCCTTTCCCTTCCCCTCCCCACAACAGGCACCCTGTGAGGTAAAAGAAGAGGAGATTGGATTTCTACCCCGGCCTTCACTACCCAAGGGAGTCTCAGAGCGGCTTACAAACTCCTTTCCCTTCCCCTCCCCACAACAGACACCTGTGAGGTAAAAGAAGAAGAAGAAGAGATTGGATTTACACCCCGCCCTTCACTACCCAAGGGAGTCTCAGAGCGGCTTACAAACTCATTTCTCTTCCCCTCCCCACAACAGACACCCTGTGAGGTAAAAGAAGAAGAAGAGATTGGATTTATACCCCGCCCTTCACTGCCCAAAGGTGTCTCAGAGCAGCTTACAAACTCCTTTCCCTTCCCCTCCCCACAACAGACACCCTGTGAGGTAGGTGGGGCTAAGAGAGCTCTTTCGAGAACTGCTCATGAGAGCTCTGAAAGAACTTATGACTGACCCAAGGTCACACCAGCAGCTGCATGTGAAGGAGTGGGGAGTAAAGCATTATGTGTGAATTATGTGCCATCAAGTTGCTTCTGATTTATGTTGAAGTCATGAAGTCGTGACCTGCAAAATGTTCTCTCCTGAACAGCCTTGCTCAGGTCTTGAGAACTGAAGGCCCTCGTGGCTTCCTCGACTGAGTCAATCTATCTCATGTTCGGTCTTCCTCTTTTCCTATTGCCTTCAACTTTTCCTAGCGTTTTTGTCTTTTTCCACGCGTAAGCATATTACCACATTTTTATACCTTTCCTCTCCCCACTAATAGTATCCAGAGCTGGAAATCTAAAGTTGAAAAATTTACTCAAAAAGTTCCCATTCCCCTCAAGCTTATTTCATGGGGTGGGGTCACTACAGACAAGGGAAGTTCTGCTTTAATCCCTTCGATTTAATTCCAAGTTCTAGTCCCTTCAATGATCCAGGGGTCATTTCCTGCAGGAGTGCACAGGAGCGGAGCTCCGACAGTAAAGAGCCCAGGGGGCGGGCACATGCAACAAGCCCCACCCCCTGCTCCCAGCAGCCCTCAGTCAGAGCAAGAAGCACCCAGGTAAGTTACAGAGGCTCCCCCCCTGCCCCCCTGGCCCAAAACAGTCCAGTTGCACTTTTAAGACCAAGTTTTATTCAGGTACAAGCTCTCCCTCCTCTGTGAGGACAGATCTGCATGGTTCCCCCCCCCACCCAATAGCTAGCAATCCAAAACAGCCCAGTGGAGCTTGAGTGATGGGTGTTGCCTTCTGACACACTTCCGGTGATGTCAGGGGGTGTGGCATATGCAAATATGTTATGCTAATGAGCTCCTGCACCTCTTTTTCTATGAAATGACCCCTGCTTCAATCTAATTCTATTGTCCAGTAAGGTTTTATGGGTTGACCGGTACAGATTATACCTGAATCTGCTGGAATGACTAACTTTCCCCCACAGGTATAGCTTTCTCTTTCCAGCCAACCCAACACAGGGAAACCCCAGACAAAAATAAACATGGCTGCTCAGAAATGAGTTCCCTGCCCCGATCTTACTGCTTGGATTTACCCAAGAAGAGGGCAGAGGCCGACAGAAATCTTCCCCCATCCATCCTCGTCAATCTCATCCAGTCAGAAAAGCCGCCTCCCTCACAGTAAATAAATAAAAAGAGCAAAAAGAAATCACGTTAAAACCAAACCTCCTTAAATACATTATTGCACAGTTATGCTGCCCTCCTAACGTTATGTCTTGTTCGGTAGGAGCCTTATCGCTCTCCCTCTCTTGTTTTGAAAAATTTGCTTCTTTTCCCTCACCTTTACGTCACTTTATTTTTCCACAAGCAAAACAAAACAAAACAACTTTAATTTTTCCTTCTCTCGAGAAAGTTCATCTCTCAGCCCTGGGTGATTTTTTTTGTGTGTAGGGGGATTTTTGTTTCTAACAGAAAGACGGGTCCGCAATCCCCTCGGCTGTTCTTCCGAGCAAGAAGCGGGCAGTCGTTTCCCACAGGTCTTTGCAATTTCCCGCCATTTTGGTTAAATGTCAACACTGCAGTTTTGCAGCTCCTCAGTCTGAGAGGAGGGTAAAAAGAAGTATCGAGGTTTAAAAATCCAGAGCGAGAGAGGAAAAGGTGGCAGCAAGGGGTACCCATGGAAGGCTGTCCTCAGAGATAGTCATCCTCACTCGAAGGGGAGGTTAGCCCGGAGTCTTCAGGATCCGAGTCTGACAGGCTTTCTGAAGGAGTCCGGCTCATCTTCCACACATGGGTGGAAAACGTCTTTCCCCAGCTACAGGGGTGACCCACAGCCCCGAGCTGACAGAGTAGAGCCAGAGTGGCCGGCCAGTGGCTTCTCTCAGTTCACTTGCTGCCTTTTGTGCTCCTGTGTTTGCTCATCGCCGTCAGCATCTGGCTGATATAGGAGGTCAGGAGGTCGTCCATCTTGTAGCCCTGACAGAAAAACGGAGAAGGGGGGGTGACGGGTTTGCTTAGGCTGAATAGTTCTCCTCAAGGCACCCACCAATCCACAATGAAAAATACATTTCAGGAAAAATACATTTTGAGAGTCAAAGCTTGGTATCTGACGAAGGGCTTTTCTGCATCCTCATTTCCCTCACTTGTAAGTTCCTGTTTCGTCAGGGTCTTTTTCCTGTTCTCCACGTGTTTTGCTCCCCCTAGTGGTCACTTTGATATTACACTGGTTTATGTCCAGCATAGAAACCTGCAGTTTAAATCTGCAGGGAGATATGCCGGACGTAAACAGGTGTAATATCGAATTGACCACTAGAGGGAGCAAAACGTGTGTTGAACAGAACCTCTGCCCCCTGAAGAAATTAGACCTTACAAGTGAGGAAAATGAGAAGAAGAGAAGGAGGAGGAGGAGGAGGAGATTGGATTTATACTCCGCCCTTCACTCAGAGTGGTTTACAAACTCCTTTCCCTTCCCCTCCCCACAACAGACACCCTGTGAGGTAGGTGGGGCTGAGAGAGCTCTTTCCGAAACTGCTCTTTTTCAAGAACAGCTCTTATCAGAACTACGGCTTGCCCAAGGTCATCCAGCCAGGTGCAAGTGGAGGAGTGGGGAATCAAACCTGGTTCTCCCAGATTAGAGTCCGCGCACTCAACCACGACACCAAAAGACTGAAGGGAGCTTCGACTCTCCAAAGCTCATGCCCCGAAAATCTTGTTGGTCTCTAAGGTGCTACTGGACTTGAATAAAACAAACAAAAATAAGAAATCATTGACAAAGTCATAAAGCAGCCATCAGATATCCTAAAACAACCATCACGTCACTCAAGAAAATCACAACACTTAACACCATCAATTGTTCTGCAGCAGAAACAACTCCCACTTGCTCCAGAAGGCTTGTAGTTAATCCCACCCATTTCACGGGGGAGAGAGTTACACATCTTGGGGGCTGTATTTGTAAAGGCCCTGCTGTGTGCCCCCACCGACCTAAGGTAAAGGTTTCCCTTGCTCGAAAGCCAGTCGAATCCGACTCTAGGGTTGCGGTGCTCATCTCCGTTTCCAAGCTGAAGAGCCAGCGCTGTCCAAAGACGTTTCTGTGGTCGTGTGGCCGGCATGACTAGATGCCAAGGCGCACAGAACGCTGTTAACCTTCCCACCAAAGCGGTACCTGTTTATCTACTTGCTATTTCTTGCTTTCGAATTGCTAGGTGGGCAGTAGCGGTCTCGAACTGCTGAAGTACCGACCTTCCGGTCTGCAGTTCAGCATCTTAACCACTTGAGCTACCGCTCATATAAAACAGATTCCCGGAGGAAGGCTTCACCCATTCTCAAATGTCATGCAGACTGATATGGGAGGGGTGTCCTTCAGGTACTTTGGATTCAAGCCATTTAGGTGATTTAAATGCAAATAGCAGCCCTCCTCCTCCCAACCCAAAATGTCTTCCGTGCCATACAGTACTCTCAGCAGCTAAGGTGTTTATTCTCCTATCAAGTTTGTGAGGTCAGGAAGGCTCAAGGGTGAGAGTTCAGAGTGAAAGAAGACTCAGGAACAGCCTAGGCTCGACAGCTCCAAATTGGGAAATTCTTGGAGGTTTTAGGGGTGGATCCTGGGGAGGGTGGAGTTTGGGGAGGGGAGGGGCCTCAGCAAAGTATCATACCACAGAGTCCACCCTCCAAAGCAGCCATTTCCCCCAGTGGAACTGATCTCTGTGATCTGGACAATTCTCTTGAAGCTGGCAACCCATTCATACAAATACTAATACATGCCTTTAATACTTGAGATGGATGGACTACAGGCTTGGGGGATCTAAATTTTCTTTGTCTGGAAGCGTACAAGCCCTTCCCATCCTCTGTGAACCATACTATTCTGAAAGCCTGGGCCTTCCACCGCAGTACCTCCTCGCCACTGTTTTCCTTTAGAAGCCAGCATCTTGGAACACTTCCCCTTCCTTACCAGAGACGTCTCGCAAAGCAGCTTGCTTCCCCGCACCAGGTTGCCGATGGTGATGTGGAAGTAGGTGTTGCCGCTGCTCCAGTTGGAGATCTTTGTGAAGGGGTGAGTGATGAGGATATCCTAGGAGTAGAAAGCCAGTTTGGTGTAATGGCTAAGAGAGGCGGACTCTAATCTGGAGAACTGGGTTCGATTCCCCACTTGAAGCTAGCTGGGTGACCTTAGGCAACTCACAGCACTCACAGCCCACAAATAAGCACAGCTCGCCACCTAGTGGTGCCAGAAAAGAGCTACGGCTTCGGCAGCCAAACAATCCCTTCCAAGATCTTCTAGCTATTACACACAATGCCATATGATATTAATTAATTCCCGGGGGCACTCAAGGTGGTCAGATTTCCATCTTGGAAAGCACGCTGCCCCTTCCTTCTGGACCCACTGTCCTATCAAACCCATGGAAAGAAATGTAGGTGGTTCCAGAAACTCCATGGAAACAACAGACCCACCTCACGAGGTAAAAGATAAAATGGGATAAGCCCAGTGTCACGATCTGGGCTGTGCAAGCGAAGGCCTAGCAGGCCCAGGGAGCCTGACTAGCAGTGGGAGGAGCCCGGCCTACAACTCCCAGAAGCCCCTGAGAGGTTGTTGTGTAGTGGGTTTGACACATCGAATGATCAGGAAACAGAGTGATATTCAGCACATGTTTACTAGTACACAACATAACAACAACAATACTGGCCGGAGGCCAACTAAATACAGTCTCTGTGGACCACCCCCAGGTTCCATTGGTGGGTTTAAACTTCCCGCCAAGGTTCCCATTGGTGACCACTAGAGGTTTCAGGATCCTAGTCCCTATTGTTCCTAGAGTAAAATATGCTGCCACCTAGTGGCAGTCAGCAGACATAACAGAGGTTTTGGCACCAAATGTAACCAATGACAGAGAAAGGGGACTTATAACAAAAGAGCAGATACAGAAGAAGAGCTGTTCTTTCTTCCAAGAGAGCAGGGCCAGAGGGAAGGCTGCTGCTGGGAGAGACCCTCGCCCCGAGAGGAAGGGTGAGCAGACTGAGGCCCAACTGAGACAGTGGACGAGGGACTGTGAGTCTAGTCGCGTTAGGGCATTTGGTTCCTTTTCTCTTCACCCACTTATCATTATTATTCCTGCACCTTGTTTGTTTCCCATATTGGGCTGACCTCCTGTAAAAATAAACCTTTTACTTGTTGTTGACTCTGCCTGGTTCCCCATGCCTATTATTTGGCCAAATAAGGGAGGTCTGAAGGTCTCGGGAGGGTGCTCTGGGCCTTCTCAAGGGATCCTAAGACCAGAGTGGTGGCAGCGTCAGGAGACACCCCGCCTGAGCCGTGACACCCGGGATGAACCATATGAATGTGTATTATGAGCTGTTATTGTATGGAGCCAGGCCATTTTGACCACCACGAATGGACAGTCGAATGAAAGTACAGAAGAGGGAAATCAAGATGATTAGAGGGTTGGAGCAGCTTCCCCGTGAAGAAAGGCTGAAGAGCCTGGGAGTTTTCAGTCTAGAAAAGAGACGACTAAGGGTGTGTGGGGGGGGACGACATGAGAGAGGTTTAGAAAATGAAACACGGGGTGGAGAGAGTGGACAAAGCAAAATTTTTCTCCCTCTCCCCAAAGACTAGAACTCGAGGGCATCCAATGGATCTGATGGGCAGCAGATTCAGGGCAGACAAAAGGAAATACATTGAGCTAGGGCTGGGCAGCATCCTGCCAAGACCCACAGGATATTTATCCTTTAGCCTCCCATAGAGAACCTGCTCCCAGAGCCTGGGGCTTACCTTGCTTTTGCGGTCGATGAGGCTGACACCGTGTTTATTGATGGCGATCAGGAGGAGCTCTGGGTAATTCGGATCAGTTGTTTGCTGTTGGAAATAAGAACGTCAGAAGAGCCGTGCTGGATCAGACCAGCGGTCCATCTAGTCCAGCATCCTGTCTCACACAGGGGCCAACCAGTTCCTCTGGAGGGCCAACAACAGGGCAGAGAGGCCGAGGCCTTCCCCTGATAAGAACCTAAGAAGAGCCCTGCTGGATCAGACCAGTGAGGGTCCATCTAGTCCAGCCTCCTGTGTCTCACAGTGGCCAACCAGTTCCTCTGGAGGGCCAGCAACAGGGCAGAGGGGCCGAGGCTTTCCCCTGATAAGACCCTCGGAAGAGCCCTGCTGGATCAGACCAGTGAGGGTCCATCTAGTCCAGCCTCCTGTCTCACACAGGGGCCAACCAGTTCCTCTGGAGGGCCAACAACAGGGCAGAGGGGCCGAGGCCTTCCCCTGATAAGGACATCAGAAGAGCCCAGCTGGATTAGACCAGTGAGGGTCCATCTAGTCCAGCCTCCTGCCTCACACAGGAGCCAGTCAGTTCCTCTGGAGGGCCAACAACAGGGCAGAGAGGCCGAGGTCTTTCCCATCACCTCCTGTCTGGTCCTTTTTAACTGGAGATGACAGAGATCGAACCTGGGACCTTCTGCATGCCAAGCAGAGGCTCTTCCACTGAGCCACATTCCACTGAGTTTTTAAGGTTCTACTTGTAGGACAAGAGAAAAAGAATGTTATTTCTGAATGTGATTTCTGACACTCTCTCCTTGATGTATATTGACAGCCTGTCACTGTGCCTTCAAAAGTTTAATCATAACAGATTCAGATTTTGGTATGTAACCTAGAATCTTTTGATTAGAGAAACTTATAGCAGAACATATATTTTATATCTGAATATCTGTGTATAAGAAGCCTCTGTAGAAGGAATTAGGATGCAGTAAGAATGGAATGCTATTTAGAAGTTGCAAGGCCGCCGAGAGCAAAGTTTAATGTGATTCACAGCCCTTATCAGCTAGCTCTCCACATGCGAGCGCAGGAAGGACCCAGTTTTCTCTAATGTTCCCAGTGTTCTGAAAACAAGGTAAACAAGTAATTACTGACACCACTGAGAGATGCACTGAGTCAAATTATGCTTGTATGATGTTAACTGCTTGGTACCAATTAGAAACTCTTTAATGTGTAAACTATATGTGATGTCATTTGGGGTATAAGACCTTCTGCCCTTCCTGGTTATGGCAGAATACAGCTCTGGAATTGCTAAGTGGTTAAGACGCTGAACTGCAGGCTGTGGACGGTTGGTAGTTCAGCAGTTCGAGACCCAGGTGCCGCATGACGAAGTGAGCTCTCGTCTCTCGTTCCAGCTCCTGCCAACCTAGCAGTTCGAAAGCAAGAAATTGCAAGTAGATAAATAGGTACCACTTCGGTGGGAAGGTAACAGCGTTCCGTGCGCCTTGGTGTTTAGTCATGCCGGCCACATGACCACGGAAACGTCTTCGGACAGCGCTGGCTCTTCGGCTTTGAAACGGAGATGAGCACCGCAACCCTAGAGTCGGACTCGACTGGCTTTCGAGCAAGGGAACCTTTAACTTTACCTTTTTAAGGTACTCTGCTCTGTATTCCCTGTTTTCAATGCATTAAACAGATATTCATCATTGAACTCCGACTATGTGTTTCCAATTCAGCACGGGAGCACGCAGGCACAGGTCTGTGTATCATACTGGACTCTTGCTCTTTTCTACGACACCATGTTAAATTCACCGTTTCCTATCATAAATGGAACGATTTTGCTGGGACTCGTCACACATTTCTGCAATTAACTCCCACCCAAATTCCCTGGAACCCACAGGTAAGTCACAGAATAAAGACCCCCGTCATGTTCACCTTCACTTTCAATGCATTAAACAGATATTCATCATTGCACTCCGACTATGTGTTTCCAATTCGGCACGGGAGCACGCAGGCACAGATCCGTGTATCATACTGTTGCTCTTTTCTACGTTTCCTATCATAAGTGGAACGATTTTGCTGGGACTCATCACACATTCCTGCAATTAACTCCCACCCAAATTCCCTGGAACCCACAGGTAAGTCACAGAATAAAGACCCCCGTCATGTTCACCTTCACTTCGAAGAAAGCTGATCCAAAGGTAGGCCACTTGTATACAATCTTTAGGAAGGCAAGCTTGGCTTCTTCTCTCGTTTTGCCCGCGTGCTTGTTGAAATAGGCAACTATGGACTGCAAAGAAGAAGAAGAAGAAATGGACTCCGTGGCTCCGTTCAGCCATCACAAACAAACTGGTCTTTGTGTGTGCTCCGGAATCCCCAGAGCACAATCAAGGGCTTTCCGACTTTGGGAGGCTTCACCCACACCCCAATTTGCCACAATGTTTGAACACTAGCACCTGGGCAAATTGGAGCTATTCTCTCCTCAAGGAATCTGGGACTCTTTATCAGGACTGAACTACGAATCAGCAAGTGTGGCTGGTCCAGTCTCACAGTGGCTCCGTTCAGACACGACGTGGAACCGACATTCAATTAAAGCCGCTCCCTGTCCTTCAAGCCAAGATCTGAAGTTGACTCATTAACCACAGTTCGTCATAGCTGCTGTTTCGCGTCATGAACCCAACATATCCTGGCTGAATCAGGGGCGGATGAAGGCTCACTGGTGCCCTAAACACTGACCAATCTTGGTCCACACTTTCCACACTGACCCCCAGTCCATTTTAGTTGTTGACCTGTCTGACCAGATATACAATGCAGGTTGCAGCAATACAAAAACGCCTTCATAGGATAACACAATATACTGTACAAACTAAGCTTTTCACCCTTTCCCCCAACTTTGTGGTGCCCCCTTTGGCCCTGGTGCCCTAAGCACGTGCCTAGTCTGCTTCATGGTTAATCCGCCCCGGGCTGAATCATAGAATCACAGCGATGGAAGGGGCCCTAGAGGCCATCTAGTCCAACCCCCTGCTCAATGCAGGACCAGCCTAGAGCCTCCCTGACGAGTGTTTGTCCAGTTGCTGCTTAAAGACGGCCAGTACCAAAGGGGAGCTCGCCACCTCCCGAGGCAGCTGGTTCCACTGCTGCACAACTCCGACGGTCAGGAACTTTTTCCTAAGATCCACACCAAATTTGGTGGTGGAAAGCGCTGTCGAGTTGCAGCCAACGTGTGGGTGGCTTGGCATTGCCGGCCTCTGTGTAGTGACCCTGGAC